CAATTCCCCTCTGATCCTGATCCCTGACCTTCACTGCCAAACATCCTGGTGACCTGAAGAGCAAGTGAACAGGAATTGGGGCTGGGAGACGGAGTGGATGGCTGTTTCATCGCTTCTTTCCCTCCTCAGGGACCCCCAATGGCTAACCGGGAGAGGTTGGGGGCACTGACCAAAGGCACCAAGTTCTGGCGCGGCCCCCAGCCGGCCACGTACACCCCGGAGACCTGCGAGCGGCTCAGAGGTCAGTGGGACACCATGGGAAGAAGAGAAGCAAGTGCTCTCAGCTCTCCTCTCTGCCTCAGTTCTCTACAGAACCTGCTTTTAACACCTCCTTTCACTGTACAGATGAGAACCCTGTCCAAAGCTTGTTGACCAAAAATCAGAGGGATAGGAATGACAGAGTAGTCCTCTCCTGTGATGCCTTTTCCCCAGGGAACCCCTCCCCATCACTCGCGCCTCCAGAGCAAGGCCACCTGTTAGTGCCCTCGCCGCTTGCCTTTTTTCTGTATGAAGCTTAGCCCAGCCTGAGGTCCTTTGTGCCCACTGGGTCCGTCAGGGCAGGGACTGTGCCCATTTGCGCTCACCATTGCAGCCCCTGGCACATAGCTAATCCATATTTGCTTATTCGTTTGTACTGACTATGAGACTTAGGAGCCTCTGGGTGTCACAAATGGTTCAACATTTGACTGCTAACCAAAAGGTTGGCGGTTCAAACACACTTAATGGTGCCTCAGAAGACAAGCCTGGTAATCTGCTTGCAGTGTTCACATTGCTGGTGGTCTCCATGACACTGAATGGATTAGATGGCAGTTGGGGGTTTCGGGGGGACTGTATGTGCTTCAGACACTTTTGTACATTGTGACATTACAGCAGTGAGCAAACTAGGAGGTAAGAGGGCAGCAAAAGGTTATTGGGGGTTTTTAAGCTGCAAAAATTCTGGCTCTCAAAAAAGCGCTGCCCCCGCACTTGAAGAGAGCAGAGGAGCCCACCTACTAGCAGGGAGACAGGACTACAATGTTCCAGATGGAGGGCCTCGCACTGAAGCTAGACCTGGAGGAAATGAAACAGAAGATCATGAAGATGGTACATCTTCTATCTGCAACTTTTTCATCTACGTGGCTCTGCTGTGATCATTCCCTTTATCTTAAATAAAGTGGAGAGCACATAAAGGTTTGGCAGCACATGAGAAGGCATGATACGAAGACCCTGGCTCAAGTTTCCACTCCCATTTGCAAATGAATAGACTCAAAGACCTGAGAAACCCTCGGATTGAATGGACCTTAAAATTCTACTTGTTAAGAACAATTTGCTCTGGACGTCATAGCAAAATAGAAAACTGAGGAGAATGAAAGGCTTTCCTGTGATCACGTGGTACACCTTTATGCCTGTGGTATGTTCAAACTCCAAGAATGGTGGTGTAATTGTAAATAATGTCAAACTTCATTTTTCTAGCAAGTGTTATAGCAAAGTGTGTCTGAAACAATACTGTTTTGGCAGTCATTTCTTTTCACTCTTTCATTTCAGTCCAGAGTGTCTCTGGGGCCCTTTACAGTTTATGTTCTGTGATGGTTAGCACATAGCCACAGTGGCATTTGAGCACAAGACTATTAGTCTGTATTTTCAATAAATGTATCAATTAAGGGGGGTCGGGGGAAGCGTGGCCCCTCTAGCAGTTGTGGTGGGGCTAAGAATGTGACTCGCCCACTCCATCAGCTCTAGCCCCACCTCTGCATTTGCTGCCTCCACCGCACAGCCATGTCCAAGGAGAAGCCCAGAGAGAGAGAGTCAAGACAAGAGAATGACCACATCAACCTGAAGGTGACCGGGCAGGATGGCTCTCTCGTCCAGTTCAACATCTA